TTTCATAGTTTAAAAAAATAACATAGAGGCAAATATTAAAAGCATCACAATTACAGAATTCTTCACTGCTAGGAGAGTTAAAAACTTTTAGTTTATATATATTAATTATTCTTAAACCTATATTAATAAATCTAGCAAAACTATAAAATCAAAAATCATGGATAATGAGATTTTGACATACAACAAATAATGAACTCAAAGTTTTGGAAAAACCAATGTATTTGAATGCTGAATTAAGCAATGTTAAGCAGTTTAATCTAAGACATGGGTGCTGTTGCTATTGTTTACTATCATTTGTCTAAAAGAGAAATTTTACCCTGTAATATGAAATTACTTGTATGTTAATTATGAAAATAGATTACAATGGGTTTTTATAATGGAAGTGACAAGACTTGATAGCAATTAGGAAAGATAGTGTGCAGAGGATATATGCATTATTGAAGCGCTGGAATACAATTTTACTGAAAAAAATATTTCAAAGAAAATTATTGCATGTATTTACTGCATAAAACTTTAGCACATACATGTGGCTTCATACAACATTGAAATGAACTCACATTTACCTGTAAAAACCAATGATACACCTGAGTAACCTTGTGACCTAGATTCAAACCTAATGTGATACTTGTTAGACCAAATTAAATACCCTATTGAGCTATCCAGCAGGCTATTGAAAATTTAACCGCCATTTCGTATTTCGCTGTAACAGCTTCAAAAGAAATCAAGTACCATCAAAGCTATCGTAAGAACATCAAAACTTCTACATAAGTCAAATAAACTTGCGAAAACAAGAATTGAATCAATTTAAAAAATGTGTAAATGAAAATTGGAATAAAATATTTTGAGTTGGGCTAATTTTCGTGGGTAGGTCAGCTAAGGGCAAACAAACAATATTTTAATTTAGGCCTGAAGACATACTGTAAATAAGATTTGTCCAAGATCTCCAGCCAGCTTCATTCTAGCGACCCTGTAGGTGTCTCCTCTGTAGGGAATAATCACTTGGGAGCCAATTTTACCTGTAATGCAGATCAAATCTCAATGTAAATCACATGTTGTGTCAATATTTCATTTTGATGAGTCAAGACACAGCTCTCACTGCATGTAAGTTTATGGTTTTGGATACCTAATCTGTTTACAATATGTCTTCCCATAAATCCTGAGGCTCCAAAGACAGTGGCCACCACCCCACTGAATGAGGACCTGCCACCTTGTCCCCTCTTACATGCTGCCAAATCACTGCCCGCATTTCGTTTCTGGAGGTAAACTGTACTCACAGCGGCTGGCAACTTCTGACCTAAACAAAGAATTGTTCATCTTATTAGCCTTTACTCTGTGTGGTTGGTTAATATTAATATTTTTTTTTTATGAAAAGCATATCATTTGTTCAAATTTAGTAAAGAATAACAATTTTATGGTCATAATATATAATTTTACAAATCAAAGTTTTGTTTTTAAATTTGATATTCTCTTTCAGTATTCTCATATTTGGAAATAATGCCTTTTTTTTTCAAAGTTGATTCTTATAAGGCCAGATAAAATTAATCTTTAGATTCTCATCCTCTCCTAGATAGAACGTTCTATCGTTAAAATGATATTATCCTACGGACCCGGTTTAACGATAGAATTCGTTCCATATATTCGTAATGTAGCAAAAGAAACATGGGCGATAACTTGTACTCACTATAACTCAGTGCATTTATTACGAACAATCTAGAGAGTTCCGAATGTAAACATGGCAGGTAAATTTGAAGCGAGAGAAAAACGTTGAGAAAATTAATTGGATTTTCGTCTTTAGATGGATTATTTTCTGGGATAAAAGGCATAAGCAATCTCAAAAAGGTTTGTTTTGATTAATTTGGTAGTTATTTCCAGTGAAATCCTTTTATATTCTTCAAAATCGTTTTGGAGCAGATCCGCTCCGATTTGCTACATTGCAAGTATATGGAACGTATTCTAACTGTGGTGAGGGCTTGTACCGAGACACAGTTAGATCATTCTAACTAATCCCCGCCCACCCCTCTCAAAGTGTCCCACCCCAGTGTTTTTTTTTTATTTTCGGGTGTTAAAAGCACAGGCACTTGTTTCGGGAATAAATTTTAACCCATAGTATAATAATAACACAAGGTATCTGACTCCAAATTACACAGAGTACCCCCCTCCTTTGGAATCGCGCTCATTTACACTTTCACAGAAAAGGCATTGGCAAACTGTTTATACCTATGTCATGTATGTCATCTACGATAATTTATCTAAACAACCATATATGGCTTGCTTGTCTTTGTTCTTTTTAATCTCAATAAACAGCCTCAAAACTATATTCGCAGAGTGGAAAAGTTTAACTAAACCATAAAACGGTATGTGCTAATCTCGGGCAAAGAGAAGAATGAAAGAATGTGTGGGTTTAAAAATTCAATTCCAGATTTTAAATATTGCATTGAATAAATAAAATTTCATAGTGTCTTATTTTCCATAAAAACACTACGATGTTTTTCCGATGTAATTTTAGAAACAGATTTTTAGCCAATCAAATTCGAGGTCTAATGCTTTGCCCGAGACTAGAACATACCATTCTATGGCTGAGTTTCACTTTCCACTTGGCGAGCAGAGTTTTGAAGCTCATTACGGATATAAAAGAAAATAAAGACAAGCATATCCGATATGGTTGTGTAGATAAATTATCGTACAAGACATAGGTTCAAACAGTTTACCCATGCATTTCCTCTGAAAGTGTAAATGAGTGCGATTCTAAGGGGTACTCAGTGTAAATCGGAGTTGGATACCTTGTGTTATTATTATACTATGGGTCAAAAAATTATTACAGAAACAAGTGCCTGTGGTTAAAAGTATTTTCATGTATTCAGCAAGAATTTGGGTCAAAGTTTGAGAGTTATCTCCCATCTGTATTAAAAGTGGCGTGCCACTATTTATAGCAAAATAGCTAAGTGAAGAATGGAGAAAAATCGGCAATGAAAGCAGTTTAAATATAAAAGAAAAGGATGATTTCATTTTGTCAGTATAGAGAAGGCAGAGGAGAAAAATTAGCATAAACAAATCTAGATACCATCACTGGCATGAGCAAGTTTTTTTTTAAAAAATGTTTAAATATCATGACATTTTCCAAAACACAATGCTATCTCAGTATCTGCTTCTTGGATACAGATTGAAATGTATAAACAGGGACATATATACTAATAGTATATACTAATAGTCCCTGGTATAAACAAATCTTATTTAACTAAATTGAACACACTGCATTTTCCTGGCCCTGATATTATGTACTCTGTCATTGACTGGATTATGGAGGAAATTCGAAATAACAGATTTTGTACTTTTTAAAACTCCAAAATCTAAGGGACGAGGCAAATCAAATAAAATTAAGGTTTAGGCCTACATGAAGAATGATTTTAAATAACACTCACGACCAAAGCGTACGACACTAGTCGTCAGGCCGCTAGCCATTTTCAACTGTCAAGGTCTCTCGATCTCCAAAAATTTCGGCGCAAAGATACAAGACAAGTCGTACCTATTTTTTTCGAATTTAAATAACCCAATATTTAAAGGTGGGTCAAAGTGCTAGGTCAAGGACAAAAGGTCAACATTATTGATACCCATGGAATGCCTTGTAATGTGAACAACAGATATGAAATATCATATGTACATAAATCATAAATATGAAGGCCCTCGCACCAACATTCCAAAAATTATGGCAAAAGTTTTCAACATTAGGTCAAATCAGGGACCTATATACTAATACATGTGTAAAGTATATGGTTAGGTCCCTGGTCAAATTCCAAATTCAAAGGCAAAATTGTTAGACCCAAAGAAAGTTCTTGTTATGGACCCACTCGATTGGGACCCTTATTATTCCAGAATAACCATTCCGCGTCTGCTCGATTATGTTTGGTAGAGTGGACTTCTATAAATGGCGTCAAACGGGTGGGAGGAAACTTTGAGGACTTTTAATATTGTAAATAAACCAAACTTAAAACAAAATACAGTTGCAGAAGAGTATTTTCATAATGTACGAAGGGTAATTCTGTTAAGAAGCACTTTTTCTGTTATGTAATTGCATTGAAATCAAGCATCAAACCATAAAATTGGAATTACCAACTTAAAGTTGGAAATACCAACTTAAAAAAAAAATATTGCGTGGCACTAATACGCTTCCGTAATTTCAATGGGGAAGAACATGAACTTTCTTTTAATTCTTGGTACATTTTTATATATATATTTTTTTTTCAAATCCTGGAAATTTTTTTTATAAAATTAATAAATGTACTGAAATAGATAAATAATAATTACACACATGACAGGACCTAGGATTTTTTCTTTGGAGGGTCCATACTAGTTAAACATAAAAAAAGCTCAACCAAAAAGGAGTGGAGGGGTCCATAATTCCTTATGCTACCAGGGGAACAGGGACCCGCGTTTTCTAGGGAATCCAGTGTCATTTTCTAGTTTCTTTATCAAGCATGCGTTTTATATATCTGTGAAATTTCAAAAGGGGGGGGGGGCAGTAACAAACACCAATCAATGATGGATTATGCTACGAAATCCTCGGTTTTAAAAATTCCCTTGTTAATGAATTGTAATAATTTCTCATGCTGTTCCGTGAGAATCAATATTCTAATGTTATATCAACAAATGACAATTTACATTCATTGCAAGCAGTCGGAGTCCACATACGTCAAAAACATCGTTATAATGATTTTTATTGCGGAAGTGGAGATTTGCACTTTTGTGCAATTGTGATACACAATATTGGTGAACATAATCATAATAAGAGAATGATAAGCTTGGGTATTCATAATTTTAATCAAATAGAATTGTATCTGCAAAACAGACTCATTTATCGTATTTCATTGAATATTTCTCTCCAATCCGTTTGAACCTCTTTCAGTTTTCATTGGTTTGTTGCTGTCCAATGATTCGCAGTCTATTTCTTCCCCATGATTTAAATTTACTGTGTTTATTCATCAAATAATAATCCCGAAGTTCGATATATGTTTAAAGATAATCTAATTCTCATGTGGAACTAAGTTCCCCCCGTAACATGATATTCTGCAGTGTTTAAAGGGAAAAGATGTCATTAATTGTATTTCAGTACATATTTTCATCCTTTAAAAACTTTTCACTGGATTAAAGAAACAGTTTGAAGAAAGCTGTCTTCAGTTAGAGACTTTTAGAAAGAGATGTTTTCCTTTCATGATAATGTAGCACAATGAAGGCCGATTATGATGCCTTTTTGATTTGCAATCCCAAAGGGGAGGATAGAGAGTTTGCAGATCAGTTAGTGGACACAATGCAAGATTCCCCATATAACCTGAAAATCTGTGTGCCTTGGAGGGTCACTGACGGACGTTGTAATGCTAGGGACTGTATCAGAGAAAGGTACGTGATGCATTTTATGACCCCGTAATCGAAGATTTGGGGGTATATAGTTTTTGCCCTGTCCGTCTGTCTATCTGTTTGTTTGTTTGTCCGCAAAAACTTTAACCTTGCCCATAACTTTTGAGTGGGTGGGGCTATGACATTGATATTTCACTGGTACATGTATATTCATTGTGACAAGAACTTTCTTGGGGTATCACCAAACTTGACCTTGTTTTATGACCCACTTTTACAAAAAATTACCAAACTTTAACCTTAGCCATAACTCTTGAACAGTTTGTGCAAGGAATTTCATACCTCACATATGTATATTTATTGTGACAAGTCCTTTCTATGGGTATAGATCTTTTATCATTTTTGACTTAAAAAAATAACCTTGGCAACTTTGAACAGTTAGCTCTAGGACTTTCATATTTCACAGATGACAAGATCTACCTTTGGAAACCGTCGATTTTGACCTTTTGACCTCAACCCAACTCAAAATTATGAGCAGGGAAAATTTTGCGGACAATCAGAAAGGCAGACGGACAGACAGGGCAAAAACTATTTACCCCCGAATCTTGGCTTCTTGAAAAAAATCAATTTGCTTCAAGCTTAAGGAGGGAATAAATAACTGTTATGGAAATAAACATGCATTGCATGCTGTTATATTTATTGCGAAGAAAATGGACACTTATAAAGACTATTAGCAAACTATAGCACTTTGGTTGTTATAAAAAATCCTTTTCAGTACAGAAAAAATATTTTCATTATGATCAATTATCTTTTGAGATGCAGATGCAAACGATGTATTGTGATATTGTCAAGCAACTTCTACAAAAGCGAGGAAGCGGTTTCTCAACTTGAATTTGCTTATAGTTTGTCACCAGGTAAGATTTTCTATGTATATTAAATCTCGTATATAATTTTTTTAAAGTTTGCATTTCCTTCTTCAGTGTGTGACTGTGTGCCACATATAGCTGCTTAGTGAAACTGTAAATTTGCTAATTTTATCGTTTGAAAATATTACATTTCCATGAATATGAAATGCTGGATTTATTTAATTGTCACATATTTTTAACCAATATAATTTTGCAATACTTATTTAATTACCAGGTAAACTTTACACTATGATTAACTAAAGGATATTTCTGAGGCCAGTGCGATAATTTAGCTACCAGAGCCTAGTATTTTCATAAGAAGTGCAAGATGAACATTCATTTTTTAACAAATATAGAAACAAAATAAAAATTTAATGTTCATTTTTCATAATGAAGATTTCGCGCAGGTAAACATAACTTTGCTTTATTTCCCTACTGTTGGATCTCAATCAGTCCAAGAGCTAAAACCTTTCTCTCATATAGTAAAACAATATATCGCAAGCTTGTTGGATTGTACATGAATGTTAACGAACTTCGATTTACGCTAGCAGAGTTAGTTATCGATATATAGATGTATTATTTAGTAAATAAAATACCGAGAAATAAAATAAAACCAAACAGTTAACTCTTTTAATTAGAGAGACATAGAGTACCTTTATGAAATTTATTTTTCTACCTTTATAAAATTTATTTTTGATTTTATTTCAGGTTTTAAAGAGAGACTGATTCTTCCCATCTGCCTGAACATATGTGAAGTTCCAAGTTATCTTCAACAGATTTCAAAATTAGAGCTTTATAATATGAATGCTCGTAAATGGTTGTGGGAACGACTTTACCTTTCACTGATATCACACAAAAACAAAGCACCCGAGAAACAAACCAAAAACTTGCCCGATGTTGTCAAATCAGCAAATATTAGAAATTAATCGTTGATACGTGTTTTATATGAAGTATTCCTTGTGATTTATTATTATTTCCCCGTTCCGAAGGAATGGAGGTATACTGTTTTAGCCTATCTTGTTTGTCTGTCCGTTCTTCTGTCTAACTGTCCAGTTGTCCAGTTGTCTGTCTGTCAGTAACAATTAAATTTTCGGTCGCAGTTTCTCAGCAACTCTGCATCGCAGTTGTTGAAATTTTAGCACACTCTTTGTTAAAAAAAACTATGCGGTGAAACTTGTTCATTTTATTCATTAAAACATGACTCGTTTTGTCATTTTCAATTTTTAAGACAAAAGTTTGCTTGTATCATCTTTCCTTAACAGAATGACTCGGAATTTAAAAAAGACCCCTCTATAATTGATTAGTCCAATAACCAACCAATTGACACCCCATTCAGAAAGATCCCGCAAAGGCGACAGTGTTACACCAGAGGCGATTTAGTGAACACTAACTCGTCAGTAGAGTAAACCAAATACTTTAGTAATATATATACTGTATATATAGCAAATCCTTTAATTCATGGCCAGAAACATGCACACCAACGATAAAAGGAATTAGAATCATTTAGTGACATGTTCACTATAGATATTTATAAGTCTTTTAATCTAGTTTAAAATTCATTGTCATATCAATTGAATAAAATACAGTAAAATAAAATTTGCAATCTATAGGTGAATAATCATGTAGTTTTATATCATGTACAAAGTCTTTTCAAAACAATTTTAAACTGAAAATTTGACTTACACATAGAATGTTTAAGTAGGAATGGGAATCACACATGGCACTTTTAGTTCAAATTTTTTTTTATTCTAGTTAACGTTTTTGTATGAGTATCTCTCTCCCTTTGTATGCGTTGCAAATTTCTATGGTTTATTTCGTGATTATAAATAAACAGATATGTTTCTTTGGAAAATTAATTTTTCAAGAATGTTCAAAATCATAATTAGAAATTATTGGTTGTGATTTAGTTTGAATCTAACTAACCAGTATCGTAAATTTTTGGCGATAATAGTAATGCCAGACATAAAACACTATTAATTTTCAAAAATTTTTCCGTATACGTAGTTTTTAACAACGCATAGTTGAGAAATGGTGTAAAGCAGAAAAATAAAAAAAAAAGAAAAGAAAGAGAGGGTATGCAAGAGGGAGAAAGTGGTGTGAGAGAAAATATGAGGAGAGAGAGGGGGACATTGGTTAGGGAAAAAAAGAAGGGATATATTCCTTTCTTTTTACCTGCCCTATACCTAGGTCTTCTCGACTCCCTACTCCTGGCTGGAGTGGAGAGAAGATAACTCTCTTATCCACCACTCTTCAAAGAGCGTGTGAGGAGACAGTGTGGGGAGACAGAGTGTGAGTGTGGGGAGACAGAGTGTGAGTGTGGGGAGACAGTGTGAGTGTGGGGAGACAGTGTGAGTGTGGGGAGAGAGGAGTGAGAGTGTGGGGAGAGAGAGTGTGGGGAGAGAGAGAGAAGAGTGAGAGTGTGGGAAGAGAGAGAGGAGTGAGAGTGTGGGAAGAGAGAGGAGTGAGAGTGTGGGAAGAGAGAGAGAGAGTGTGGGGAGGGAGGGAGAGAGAGTGTGGGTAGAGAGGAGAGAGAGAGAATGTGGGGAGAGAGAGAGTGTGTGAATGTGGGGAGAGAGTGTGGGGGGAGAGAGAGAGAGAGTGTGGGGAGCGAGAGAGTGTGTGAGTGTGGGGAGAGAGAGGAGGTGGGTAGAGAGAGAGAATGTGGGGAGAGAGAGGAGTGAGAGAGTGTGGGGAGAGAGAGAGTGTGTGAGTGTGGGGAGAGAGAGAGGAGAGAGAGAGAGTGTGGGGAGAGAGAGGAGTGAGAGAGTGTGGAGAGAGAGGAAAGGATCCGGGGAGAGAGAGTGTGTGTGAGAGAGAGAGAGAGAAGAGAGAGACAGTGTGTCAAGAAGAACGACCGAGTATAAATATTTAATCAGGTCAGAACTAAGAGGGCAGATTTCACTTTTTATTTTAATTTAAAATTTTTACTTATATCTAATTAAATGATGTCCTCAGCCATATAGTAAACAAGTTAACTTTAGTGCTAAAATTTTAAAACCACTGGATTCTATTGACTGCAAGAAACACTCGGGAAATTCTAAAAACTGACTGGCGTATAAACATTTAGATACCTCTAACCTACTCTAAACAAGTTTGAGGAAGGAGTTATCGTTCATAACAGCGAGCCCTAGCGGCAGTTGAAAGGCCTACATATGCCACTTAATTTGAACTTAGGCCTAATTGTCTTTTTCCCCGGAGTTGAAGAGTTCGGATACTTCGTTAAAGCCTGGAACTTTGCGCTACATTTTATTGTCTATTTATATTGTTGTACACTTATTCCAAAACAAAATTGGACATTTCTATATTTTACTTCTGTCTGTGCGTAACGCTTTATTTTGTAAAACTTTCATTTCCAAGCGATATCTCGAGAAGCCTTTGAACTTTTGCTCGCACGCGAAAGGCCATCGGTTCGAATCCCGGTTGAGCCTTTTTTTCAATTACTAAATGATAGCATTTAGCATTTGAATGAAGAATTTATGACGCATGAAGTGTACAAACTATTATTATTGTGTAGTAAATATTTTATATTAAAAAATCTTTAGAAGAATAAGCAGTCAAACCTTTATATCCATATTTGCATTTTTTGCTTGCGTCAGTACATAATTAATAAGAAACCAAAACACATTGTTGACAATGTATGCCACAAGATACGTCAGCACGCTTGATCGATAAAGAGTGTTGGATGATAGATAGACAAAACCAATAGTAATCACGTCTATTGAAACAATACAAACCAGGAACAAAGCGAACAAGGACCTCTAAAAACAAAGGTGGGATCATGTGTCATGGAGGAGAAAGTATCCCCTGTATATCGGTCACATCCCCTGTGTGCTCCCTAATCGGCAAAAAAAAAACAAAAAAAAAAAACAAAACAAAACAAAACAAAACAACAACAACAAAATCCATAGACAATTCAGCGTGTAAATTGTGACCTATCATTTATTTTGAAAATCATAACATCAACCATTGGACTTGCGGAAGGAGTGAGAACAACCTACCATTATTGTTATTAAGCATTGTTGCCCCTTACCTCTTGTGTTTCAGCCGATTTAACGAAAACTAAAAATACTGATTTTCAGATGGAACTGTTTATCTAAAGATAAAGATACCTATGTTGATAGCGGTTCAAACATAAAATAGTATAGGAATATGAGTTTTTTTTAAAGAAATGTGTTTATGTTTTGGATTTTCCGTTAAATCAAGGACTAACTCGGGACCAAAAAAAAACATAATTTCTTTCAAGAACATATCCTACTGTACAGTGCTTCATTTTACGCAGTAGCCCAACCAACTTAAAAAATATTAAACTTATCCTGTAAATGTTCAATATGAATCTTTATTAAATATTTATTTCAACTTTCTCTGTGCATTAACAGTTACAATAACAAATTCCTGATTTCTGTACTCCATTAACATGAAAGGTTCATCTCCATCCATTATACTTTCTTCTGATGTTTCTTCATCCTGAGGGTCAACTTTATTATAATCAGGTAAATTGGAATTTGAAATTGGTTTAGTTGAAGCATCGTCTTCGAAGGTGTTTTCTCTTGTAAAATCATGAACCAGAAATAAATCATCACTATCTTTATTGGGATTTTGGAATTGTCTCTTAGAATCCAGCGAGGTATCAAAGCCAGGGTAGCTCAATGAATCTTTAACTTGCTTATTTCGAACTTTAGAAATCTTAAAAGGGTCAAAATCGGGAACAAGGGATACGTGTGATATTCCCTCTTTTGCAGCATCTTGTCCAACATTCTTGACTAGTTTATTTTTACTGGTCTTAAGGTTCTTTTGTGTGTCACTATTATCGGCCTGCATACCCGCCGAATACCCAGCGGCAGCGTCTCCTGCAAACCAAATTAAAGTATCAAACCACTTCCCAGAATCCTTGGGATTCTTTTGTAGATCATCTATTTGTTTGAACATGCCACTTAATTTTTCTTCCCCATGAATCTCAGAATCAACGGCGGTCGTTACAGAATCCAAAGCCAACCCTCCGGATATTCCCCCGACCATAGCTCCCACAGGACCCCCAACAAGCATTCCAGTAGCACCCCCAACCATTGTTCCAACTGACCGCGAGGCTGATTTCATAGCATTATCTCCTCCCTCCTTGTCGCCCACAACATAATGAACCGTACCTTTGACATGTCCAACCAGAGGGACACTGTCAATTATACTGCTGGTATTACGAATAAACTCCTTTTGAGTTTCTAGTGCAGCCACTTGGTCACCAGCAATACACTCAACAGCAGATCTGAGTTGCGAGACACCAGGACACTGTCTTGTAAAGTTTTCCTGCGTGGTTTTTGCTCCATTTTTGTCACCAGAAATTAACTGAAACACTGACTTGGCTTGGGAAACGAAAGGGATCCAGTCAGCCATTCACAAAATTAAAAGAACGATGGTGATTATAACCAAAATAGACCCCTTTTCACGGAGTGCATACTTTAAAGCGGAAGTGAGAAATTATGTAAACATATGCAAATTCTTTACGTGTTCACGATCGAATTGTCACTGGGTTTAACAGTGCTTGTGGCGTCCAAACTAGACGTGATGATATTAGGCTCCCGAACATCGAAAAAATTTTTACTGAGGAATCCGATTGTATCTGTTAAAGAAAATTAAAAGGTAGCATTATCGTCTTTTATATCCCTCTGTCTTCTATTTACAGAATTTTATTATTATAGTATAACTTTTTAGATCGATTAATTTTTCGGAATCTTCACTTTTTTATATGATCCGTATTCATGCAGCAATATACCTTTATCACCTTTAACTGAGATATATAATTTTTGTACAAATTTTTACAAAATTATATATCTCAGTTTGTTTTGATACGCGAGAGCATGTATGAACAGTTTCTAAAAAGAGGTAATTTATTTACATACAAGTTCATTAACCAAGAATATCAGAAGTCTCGTTTAAATCATCATTTCGTGAGTTTTATGGTGAATACAATGACCTGGTCAACAAAAACAATCTATCATTAAATCAGATGTTGACAGACGTTTTTCGTACTAACTGACGGATCACTATATACACTATACAATTAATTACCCCTTGTGAGGTCAACATGGTGAAATAAGGACCCGAGACCTGGCCCACGAGGTGACCTTTTAGGCCGCGTAGCGGCCGAGGTCAGGGCAGGTCATCGAGTGGGCCAGGTCGAAGGTTGAACTCACAAGGGGTAATTAATTGTTTTATT